AGAAGCATAGAATTTGAATGAAATTATTTTATAAAACTTATTATGTAAAAAAGCAAAATTCTTAAATTAATACATATGTGTATGTGTAATATATTACACATTAATATATGTAATGTGTAATTTAAAAAAATTCAATGCCAGAGGCAATGGCTCATGCTTGTAATCCAAGCTACAGAGAGAGGTGAAGATTAGGAAGATGGAGGTTCAAGGCTAACCTAGGCAAAGTTAGTGAGATCCCATCTAAACCAATAAGCAATTAGCCAGATGTGGTGGGTGCATGCCTGTGGTCCCAGCTTTTGGGAAGATGAAGGTAGGATTGTGGTCAGAGGCTGATCATGGCCCCAAATGTAAGATCCCATGAAAAAACCCAACTCCTCTTCCCCCAAAAGTCAAGTTACCAAATTCATTTGGGAAATAAATGGGAAAATAAGAGATTATCTTCTGTGTAAGGATTATCAGTATATGTGCCAGAAATTTTGAAAAGCATTATACTATAAAATGCTAAAGAAAAATGATTATTTTGAATGCTGATTATTTTGGGGTTGTGATTTTAATTTTTTCCATTTTTTTGGTGTTTTCAACATTTTCCTCACTTTACATATATTGCTCTTGATTAAAACAAAAGCAGTAAGAAATAAAAATAAAATTTATTTTCCCGAGGTCTAAAATTTACATGGCATGGGATCGCAGAATCTGAAAGAGGTCTACTGTCTACCAGTTTAACCTTTTGCCAAACTGGAGTAACTCTACCTACAGTACCTGACACTACCCAGCTTTCTTCGCAATACTTCCAAGTATAAAGAACAATATTTTGAAAACACCTTTTTCCACTGTTACTGAAAATTTCATCACTAACTCATCAATAATTTTATTCAGTTTCTGTAGCAGAGACTTAAGTCTTTGTATTAAGCCCAAATGCATACATACACACATAGCTTTCTAATTTTCTGCTACTACTTTCAAGTTTACAATCTGAAGAAAGAAAGAATATGTTTACTCTTTTCTACAGAGCTGTTCTTGAGGTATTTTTAGACAGCTATCAAGAGTACCTTCACTTCCCTTTTCTAGGCTCTATATTCAACTCTATTTCTTTGTATACCGCACCCCCATTCACTGATATTGGAGTAACCAGGACTTCAAACAACATTTCAGATGGTTTCTGATAAACTATAAATAGTCTGAAAAATACCCATTCTTGTTTTCAAATGTAGTAGTTCACATAATATTGTCAGATTGTTTATAGTGAACCCAACTATGCAAGTCTATTTTACTATTCACTCAGGTCTTCCACAACTACTGCTTGTGTCATGTGTCTTTTCCACATTAAATTTTCAAAAAGTTTAAATATGGCAGAAAAATGTTCACTTTTGAATAAAGGACATGTGTCTCTCTCTTGGTCACAGAAAGCTCTTCATCTCCCTTCTACATTTACTAGACTGACTAAGCCTTACTTATATCCACTATTTACTTCTTGTTTTATCTGTAGGGAATTATAAACTTTTTACAGGCAGTAAAGTTTTATTTGTTTGTTTTGTTTTGGTGGTACTGGGGTCTGAACTCTGGGCCTCACACTTGCTAGGCAGGTGCTCTTACTGCTTAAGCCACTCTGCAGCCCTGCCGTTAAAGGAGGGAAAAAAAAAAAATCACATCATCAGAGAGTATGAATCAACGAATGAATTGCTGGACGTCTTAATCAAGAAAAACGGAAAAGTGAACACAAAAATGGTGAAGAAATAATGACTATCCCCAGGTTTTTCAGAAACCATCAATGAATGCACAAATTCAATTTTCCTTTCAATGTTTTCTCTGCAGCAATGGTGCCAAATCTCAGAGAGGATGGAAATTTCTCTATCTATATATCTCTTATGTAAGATATTAGAAAGCATTTGTAGGTCTCTAATTCAACCTATTTTTATAAGATATCTGAACTTAAACAAATACAGCCACTAATTTATTTCTAGGTTTTAAAAACTTGATATAAATGACCAGGAAGCAAGAAATGCTAATAGAGCAAGTTTCAGATTCAAACCTAAGGGCTACAATGTATGTTAGTTTTATCAGCAATAACTTACTCATTAAAATCTCTATAAACTTCTCATGTGCTAAAATTTACTAAAATGAGATTATGGCTATTTGAAAATTTTTATCTATCACTATTTTGTTTGAGACCATATAAAGACTGGTTTAAAAAATTTGAGGGTGCTTCCTACCCCTGTTGTTGTCCTCCACAGATGTCCATAAACAGGGGGTAATTTCACACCCAGTGTGTAGCTTTTAAGTGTTTAGAATTACCTTGAGTAGTGAAGTTGAAGAGTGCAGGTGTGTCTCGCCCATTTGGTAGTTTGACATTTGGGTCCCGTAATTCATCAAAAAATGAATGTGCACAAGCCTCTAGTGGTGTCAATCGGGCAGTTGGTGTATACTCCAGTAGACGGCTACACAGTGCAATTGCTTCTGGTGGAGTTCGGGGTCGGAAGACCTGCAGGATAAAAAAGGGAAAGAACAATTAATACTTTATTGCAATAATCTAAGCAAATAACTCTGAGTACTGAGTTAATTCCTAACATGTACAAAACATGGTAAATTTGGGACGGGAGGCTTCTAGAACTGCAAGAGTAAACTGCATGTGATTCATCACAATGAGGTGAAGTACTTGAGATTTTATAAGAACAACTCAAGAGAAAGATCTACATATGCTAATCATAAAACAACACAATTACACATGCATATGAAACATGAGAGGCACATATAAAGTTCTGGAGGCAAGCACAATGAGAAGAATACAAAAAAAGTTTTGGCTATTGTGGCAATAAATAAAAGATTGCCTCTTTGGCATTAGTTTTAGCAGAACAACTGTTGATAATGGATGGCACTGTTTAAATCTGGCAATTTGCCTATACATATATTTACATTTTTATTAGCATGTATTAGTTGTACAGAGGGGATGCATTGTGGCATTTACATATGTGCTTACAATGTATGTTAAATTAGGTTCACCTCCCCCCATCATTCTTCTTTATTCCCCCCTCCTTAGAGCAATTTCAGTAGGTTTCACTGGTCTATTTCCATACACATACACAAAGTATACTGACCATATTCCCTCTCTTTTACCCTCTCTGTTTATCCTCTCCTTTTCCCACTGGTACCCACCCCAGACAGAACCTGTTTTACTTTCCTGCCCTTCATTTTTTTAAGTGTGTACTGATTGCTCAAGGGAGTTTCAACGTGGTATTTCACACATGCATATATTGTACTTCAATCAGATTGGCCCCCTCTATATTCTTTCTCTATTACCCTGCTTCTCTATTATTCAACAGCTTCAGAGCATTTCATTATAGCTTCTTCATACATGAATGCAATCTATTTCAATATTATTCACTCTTATCATTCTATCAATTTTTAAAAAAGAAAAGCTGTTATACTAGTTTTATAAATGCTAATGATTTGGTATAATCTCCTCAATAAACAGAGCCTATGATTATTTGAGTACCTAGGCTTTGATGAAATGTTTGACATTGTTTTCTCAAGTAGCTATTATCATGAGTGTGGTCAGATCACTCTCATTTGAATGAATGTTCTAGAGTTTTAATCAGAGAGGGGAAAATGTATTTTTCATTAAGAGCCATTAAGCCATAGAAAAAGTCAATTGAAAACTATATTGAAGCAAACTGCAATTAAACTAATTTGCTTAAAGAATACACAGCTTTCTACTCAGTTGTGTCTTAAAACAAATCAATATATTAAAATTATGATAATATACTTCATTTTAAATTACAGCCAGTTAAATATAAAAAAGGGGAATAGAAATAAAAAGATGAACAAAAAGCCTCTGAAACTAAAGAAAAAAGGAAAATATATCCCTTGAAAGAAAAAAAATACAACTAAAACCAAAGGTGGGGTGAAGGTGGACAGATATATTAAAGAAGCAGACACAAATAACTGAAAGGAAATAGACCTTTTTTGTTTGTTTGTTTGTTTGTTTATTTGTTTGGTGGGACTGGGGTTTGAACGCAGAGCTTCAGGCTTGCAAAGTAGGGCTCTACCACTTGGAGCCATGCCTCCAATCCAGGAAGTGGACCTGTAAGTGAAGAAAGGGCATACAGACTGGTAGGGCACGAAGGGCTCTGGGAGGCTAAGGTTTCCTAATGAGAATGGCTCATGTCTTCTGGCTATTCACTTAGGTTAAAAGTAGGAGAAACTAGTTACCTCTACAGAATCCTTACATATTCTGTAGACTTTTTACAAAGATGGTGAAAGGTAGCTTTTTTTGTTTGTTTTTTAACATGTAATTTATTACTGAAAAGGCTTATTTTCCATGGAAACTGAGAAACTGGGTTGAGTAGGATCTTAGAGCTTTAAAAGATCTCAGAGCTTTAAAAGTCTTAGTCAATTTACTGGCTATGTTTAGAAAGCCCTCTGTAAGAGCAAACACTGCCTTGTCTTTATGTTTTTGAGTACTCGGATTTGCCTCAGTCAAGAAAACCCTAATATTGTATATTATTTAAAATTTATAGCTTTTTCACTGTTTTTGATCACCTTCCCCTCTCTTGCTCCCAAGGCCCAAAATTAAATCCAGAGTGCAAAAACAAAATAGTCAGTGGGAAAATTCAGAATACCTATCATAAAAATATTTAAACCCCAATGATAGACACATTTTATTCCTGAGGTAATTTGCATCTGCTTGAAGTAGACTTAAAAATAGCACCAAAAAAGTAAAAATATCTCCTGCTAAAATTCAAATACAAGGTAGGTAGATGGTGAGTTATTTTAACTAAAAATACTCACTTTATATTAATGAAGATTTTGAGTAAAAGGTTTTAATGAACTAATATTATAAGCTTGTTTTTGATATTAAAAAAATGCTGTCCATGTCTGTTTGGTGTCTTTGTGGCTACAAGTGATCGTCCATTTTGGTACTAAGATACATTTTAGCCTTTTTATAAGTATCTATTGTTATTTTAAACTCTTTGAGAGACTTTTGTTGAAAAATGCCTTGGCTCAGTATTATTTTGTGGATAAAGGTTAAGTGGAGAATTAACCAAGTACCTCCCAGAGCTTAAGTTTTGGCCATTATATATATATGTATATATATGGAATGGGAGCATGCAACTTCAAAAAATTACAGTCCAAACTAGAAACAAGCTCCTCTGAATTATCTTTGTTTTTAAAGAAAAGAAAACCAGCTGGTGGTGTGGCTCAGGTGTAGAGTACTGCCTAGCAAGCCCAAGGCACTGAGTTCAAATTCCAGTGCCACCACCACTACAAAAAAAAAAATTAAAAAAAGGAACCAATGTTTGAAAATTGGCTTTAAATAAAGAAGTTTCTGCTACCCCATCATTCCTTATTCATTAGATTGCTTAACACTCAGAACTTTTGGTCTCATGAATCTTCATCTACATTTATTCTTTAAGAATACTAACTTAAAAACTCCTCAATTTGTAAATTTCAACCCAGATACCAATGCATCACCTAGGAGACTGACAGCCTAATATGTACCATAAGAACTGTACTATACAATGAATGAAAACAAGTCATAGCTACCTACACTGCTTTTACTACTACATTTCAAGAATAAGCAATTATTCAGCCCTTCAAAAATGTTTTCCAGAGTTTTATAGACCTGCGCTGAAATTTTGGGGAAAAAAAAAAATTAAGTACATACCCGCACTCCTGAGGTGAAATGTCCTGTTCCTGACGAATCCTAAGATGATAATGCAGTGAAATAATCCAAACAGGGGAAGTCAATACAAAAGAGAATAGTCCAGCAAGGAAAAATATATCCAATGTTATAAGAAATCCATGGTGTAGGGGGACATAGAAAATGTTTATACAGTTATAAACTTTAAACATTAGTCTCCACAGTAGCAAGTCCAAATTTTAAAAATTATTTCACCACAAGTGTATGCAAAAATTTTTTTTGATTTGTGCAATGGTGAGGCACAGTAAAGAAACATTTTAATTTTAGTTTATGTTCCAATGCCAGTGTGTTTACTAAAAAAATACAAAACCAAAAAAAGTTAAAATCAAAATGAAATCTAGAAGTAAAGTTCCCAAAGTAAAGTGGTCTTCTATGACCTGGATTCATCATCCATAAACATGGCTGGGAGGGGCATTATTAGCCTGCTTTTAAAGATGTATGTTCCCAATATGCTAATTTTTCACAATTAATGTGTCCCAGTTACACAGTATAAACATTTTTTTGGCTATATTAGTGATGAGAGAAAAGTATTAAATATATTAAATTTATATTACTATAAATTATTATAGTAATTATATTCAAGCCAGATATTTTAATTTGTGTGAGCTAAGGAGAATCAGGCCACCGCGGATTATTCTCCATATTTGGATTGACTTCCCTGCTAAAAGATGCTTATTTGCTGACATTCTCATCATCTTAGGACTCTTCAGGAAATTGACATATCACCTCAGGAGTGCGGGTATAAACTTACTTTTTCTATTGTGGGCTTTGCCCCCTCATACCCTTGCACCCATTACTTAAGGAAAAATAAATAATAGAACATTTTTTCCTTTTTGGAAAAACTCACTGAAAAAAAAAATCCTACATCTTTGAGCACTACAAATTCAACACAGTTCCATCTGCAAATATGCCCAATTCACCCACCAAAAGCTAAACCAAAATTTATACAATAAACAAACAACTAAGGGACAGTCACAGTTATAGGTGACATGAATAGTAATGTACACCAACACCTAGGCACAATGGAGCCAAATATGCAATGTAGGTAGCAGGGTCTTTTATGTCTAGGTATTGAGAACAAAAAAAGAACAGAACTCACCAGTAGCTGTGAACTCCCTTGGCTATTCTAAGAGAATGTAACATTCTTTTAAGATAGTTTCCAGTGGGAGAATTAAATATTTTGCAAAAATAAATAATCCGCGGATTACTTTTAGTCTGCAGACTAAAATTTAGTTACAGGATTAAAATCCGGCCCATCAGAATAAAAATCTCAAAACACAACCAAGCGGACAAAAATAGAAAACCATACTAAAAGAACTGATAGCACAAAGTAAGATTCTACCGGGCCAACTAACAATTAGTGCGCAGACTAAATATGGCCAGCCAAGTATGTAGCAAGGCCATGGACACCCCTTTAAAAACTAAAAACAAAATTAATAAACCAAAACAAAACAAAAGAAAGAAAGAAAAGCAAAAAGAAAAAAAAGGGGAAAAAAGAGAAAGGAAAATTTCAAAAGAACCAAAACACTGACATGAACTTTTTAAAGTGATTCAAATACTACCTCACCTATGCAGCAACATATTTTCTTAAATTGAAACAAATACCAACGCTAATCACAAACACTAGGTCCATAGAAAAAACTAACAAAAATTATTTTTTTCAAAAAGAAAATCTCTGTGGTATTGAAATGAAGAATTATTCAAAATAAATTTGCATTTGGGTAACTGAAAAACAACAGAGGCAATTTTCCCTCTACATGTCCTGGGGCAGACTTTAAACA